CATGGTGGTTGCTTAACTTTAACCAATTAATTCCAATTTATGATTCAACTATTTTCCTACATGTTTACTACGACTAAAAATATTAACTATATTATATATTAATTCATTGTATATTAATTCTCTCCTTAAGATAGGAAGACATGTTCTATTCATCTACTTTAGATGAAATTATAGCCTAGGCCAGGGGTAGGCAACCTTGGCTCTTTTATGACTCGTGGACTTCAACTCCCAGAATTCCTGAGCCAGGAATAAAAGTCATAAAAGAGCCAAGATTGCCTACCCCTGGCCTAGGCATATGTTTGACAGAGTTTAGTTTCTCAAACGTTCTACTAGTCTTTAATATAGTACAGAAAGCCAGGGAGACAACTTAGAGAAGGAATCCAGAGGTTGTTAGGGGAACACCAAGTGCAGATGAAAGATGTGTTAATTTCAGAGAAGCGGGAGAGTTACAAAGAAACACAGACTAGCCCTCCCCCCCACTCCAAATTCCATGGATATTAGAAGAAGAAAAGGGAAGACATCAATTTGCAGATTCTATTATTATAACCTATCTCAATGAGATATAGTTCTGGTGTTCCTGTGGAATCTTGTTTCCAGAGCTGGCTACCAAGGGTTGACATATTCTTGTATAGCGAAATGTATAAAATTAACAAAATGCTACTGGTAGCTGCTGTAACAGCAAAACATCTCTTTATGAGCACAGTATTGGATAATAAGAGATTCTAGAAGCCCATCAAACAAACATAGCTGCTTAAAAAACTAGACTATTCTCTATTCTCATTTTTACTTTATATGTGATTAATTCCAATATGAAAATCCACACCCAAGTCTCTCCAATCAATTATCTTTCAGAATATATTACCCAATACTAAAATCACCATTGGAATACAGAATTATTCATCTTTGTTCTAAATTTCTCAGAAAAATACTTTCAACAAGATTAATTTTTCTTGATATTCTGAAACTCTCTAAACTCTATTTATATTTGATACTATCTTGAAAGGTTGTAGTTATTGGTATCATTTTTTAAAAAGGGATAATGAAAAAGGCAATTATGAGTTATTATTCATGATATGTAATGTTAGAGGAAAGTGCATTATAATCACTATGTTTTCCTTCTATCGTATGCTCTGTCTAATGTTCCTAGCAAGCATAAGAACACAATCTATACATTATTCTTCTAAATGATGCAAACCCTTGTGGCAAGACTGGACAATGGAGAAATTAATAAAGCGTAATCAGGATCTAACATACTAAAAAACCACAAGCACATTCTTATCCATTTACAGTGAAAAGAACAAAATAAAATTTATCCAGTAAATGTATAAACTGCACACACAGGCCCTGGCAAATGTAGTAACATGTTACTGAATACTAAAAATAGGAAAGCAGATCACTCAAATCAGAGCTGAACAAATCTAAGAAAATAATCTCAGAAAAATAATCCTATGCATTTTTACTCAAAATTAAATATTATAGCAGTGATGGCAAACCTTTTAGAGACCGAGTACCCAGACCGCAACCCAAAACCCACTTATGTATCGTCGGGTGCCGGGTGGGCGTGGCCTATTGGGTGGGCATGGCCCATTGGGTGGGCGTGGCTGCGGTGGTGACGGCAGACTGGGTGGGACTAAAAAGTTCAATCAATCAATTCCAACTTTGCGAGATCTTTTTTTTTTTCCCGTGAGAAGTTGAAATTGATTGATTGATTGAACCTTTTTTTTTTTTTTGCACATGGCGGCGGAGGCCTAAAGTGAAAAGGTTTTATAAAACCCAGCTGAAGGCCTAGGACTGGGGCGATGGCGTGCGTGCCCAGAGAGAGGGCTCTGTGTGCACATGCCATAGGTTCGCCACCACAGTACTATAGTATTCAATAAAGCTCACAAGTTATTGGCTTTAGTACTGTTACCCACCTAGATTGAAAATTCTCTTCAGAAATGCCATTTTTACTTTCAGAAATGTGTGAAATGTAGAAATGCCATTTTTACTTTCAGACATGTGTGAAAAACTATGTGATCCCTTATTTACTCTTTCTTCTCCTCTATTTTTAAATATTTATCTAGGCTGGCATTTCTCATTTGTCAATTATAATCATGGATACCCGATCTCAGGTTTTGAATGTACTGTATCTATTAAAAAAATACAATCAAATCCAGGATTAGAAATTTACAATTCTCCAGGTTTCTTCAAATATGTATATCTCAAGTGCCATAAATTCCCATTATGTTACAGATTTACATATGAGAAATAAAGCCTTATGACAGCTGATAGCAGCACTGTTTTTTTAAAAAATAACTAACATTTTTAACCATACATTTCTACAGACTAGTCAAACTTGATCACATCACGTGATGTATCATGATGTATCATGACATTTTTTGCCTTTGTGGAGCTGGGGTGGGCGTGTCCTGTGCATGACGCATCTGGCCCATGGGCCACCCATTTGATACCCCTGGACTAGACTAGAAAGTAAACTAGAAAGTTTACTCAAAAAGGGGGAGAACATTGAGCAGTAAATAAATACTATGTTTTCATGCATGCTGAAAAACTATCAAATTAATAGAATAAAATATAAAAAATAGCCTACTTTAATAGTTAATTTTTCACTTTTGCAAATAGCTTAAACATTCAAAATATAACAGAGGGGGAACTTAGAACTTAGACAACAGTATAGGGTTGTCAAGTAATGTCAGACCAATATCCTTTCTTTTTATAACAGTGATAGTTTAAGAAAGGAAGCGTTGTAAAGGGATTGCACCATGATATTAGTAAAGCATTTAACAAGATTTTAAATTATATCCTTAAGAACAAGATGTCTGTTAAATGATAATCTGTAATAGCCAGTTGAACAACCCACCCAAAAGAGAGTTTGTAAATTGTCCTGAGGGGAAATACTGAGTGAGATCGCTCAGGGTCTTATTGCAGTTCTGTTCAATGTCTTCCTAAATGATCTAAAAGTTGGAATGGAAAGAATGTGTATTACATTTGATAATGATACCAGGGCAGGAAATTGGCCACTCATGGTTCAAGAATAATCTTAGTATGTTTACACACCGAGTCATATCTGGTAGGAGGAATATTAAGGAAAGTTTGAGGTCTTGATCTTGGTGGAAAACATCAAATAAGTGCACCTTGGAGCACTAGAATTAAACTTCAGCAATCAGTATGACATAACAGCTAACACAGGTGATATGATACTGGCCTGTATTAACAGAAGCATTTCATCCATTTATTAGCAAGCAATAATTCCACTGCACTCTGATAGTAATGCTTTGATCATTTCTGGCCACGACACTTGGCACTGTATTTTAATGGGACTTAGACAACTTGAATCAGGTTCAGGGGAGAGGTAGCATGATGAGGTCTGAAACTAAACCCAAGAAGGAAGGGTTAAAGGAATTGGACAAATTACCTTGCAAAAAAAGATGACAAATAGGAGTGTGATAATGGTCTACAACAGGGGTGTCAATCTCGTAACATCACGTGATGTGTCGTGATGTATAGTGACTTTTTTTTTCCATTGCTGGCAGTGGGGTGGGCACCGCTTCGCCATGACGCATCTGGCCCGCATCTGGCCCGCAGTTTGACACCCCTGATCTACAATTATCTATAACAGTATTGCTCAACCTGGCCACTTTAAGATGGACTTCAATTCCCAGAATATCCCAGCTAGCATGCTAGCACTGATCTATAAGGCAGCCATATGCAAGATTAGACCACTTTTCTATTAAAAGTGACAACAGGATAAGGTTGAAATTAAAAGAAAGAAAATGTATGTTAAATATTAAGAGAAAAGTTTTGATAGTAAGAGATATTAAGCAATAGAACTGTGTCCTAAAACCAATGTACTATACTTCACTGGAGGCTTTCAAAGAAGATTTCAGCCTCCTGTCAGAAACTGTTTAAAGAACTGAACAGGAATTGAAGAAAATTACTTTTAAGGTTTGAACTCATATATTATATATTTCTAAGATTTAATTAAAACTACGTAATTTCTATAAAAACCTGATACTCAGGAGCTCACAAATATATTTAAACTGAAAGATCTAAGGGTTATAATCTTAACCACTTTATTTTTTGCAAAAAAGGGTGCAGATATTCACCAAAATTACAAGGGGAGAAGATGGATCTCACAAGTCCAAATCAAAACTGAGAATACATATCACTTCATACAATGCATTAGATTATGTAAATTCTTTAACTGATTCTTCCCAAAATCCATTCTAGCTGGGAATGCTGTAATGCTCAACACATCTAAAGTGCAAACTGGGCAAAATAAACCATTTTATCAGCAAATACAATATTTGCCAAATTTACATTTACAAAAGTTGGGTCAGCAAAAACGGAATACGAGAATGCAAAGGTGAAGATGCAAACAAAGAATACGAAAACGATCCCCTAAGTCCTATAACGAGGCACCTGGCCGTATTAAAGGAGCAAAATAAGCAGGACGGCAGTGTTGACTGGGGGTGATTGCCACGTCTTCTGGCTGGCATCCTTAGATGTGGGAGAAGCCAAAAAAAGGAAGATACTATAAAGAGAAGCCCCAAACTTTCAGGCGATTAAGTAAGCGCCCTGTAAAGCCATCTGCCCCCAAGCAAAGGGTAAGCGGGAACGAGCTTCCCTCCTTCCCTACGAGGTCTCAAGGCTCGACTTCCCTCAGACGTACGAAAGACGCGCAGGTCACTAAGGAAGGGAGTTCCTATCAGAGGCAAAACATTATTTCATTTTTGATTACTCAATTTAAACCCCGCCTTTCTCTTAATTCCAACACTCAAAAGCTCCCAACCTTTGTCTGCCTCCTCAAGCAGGGGGATTTCTTTCGCCCCCTTTTCCACCATCCTCCTGGCTTCCCGAGAAAGCCCCAGCAGATACGCATCTCCGAACTGCTCCTTTCTCAAAGAAGGGTGCCTAGTAATGCCCTCTTATGGGCCCAGGAAGAAGGTAGCCCGGCCTTAGCGGCCAAACGATGGGTAAACACAGTCCGGCGCCTCACTCACCTCCGAAAGCGGCGGCAACAACCGCAGGCGCCGCGGGGCCTGCATGGCGAAGGGCCCTCTTCTCCCGTGTGGGCCTTGCGCTAACCGAGTGCCAGAAAGGCCGACGCGGAGCCTCCGTGTCTCCCGCCCGTCCCTCAATTCCCAACCGCGAGGGCCGCTGGCGGGGAGCGGGCTGGCTGACTTAAAGCTTATTCGGAAGCTACCTAAGCAACCGGTAACCAGCGCCCCCTGTCAGGTTCCAGGGGCGGTGCACGACACTGCGGCACGAGCCCAGCGCCTGACCGGCCTTCTCAGGCCACAGCTGCACGGCTGCGTGGTAGAGCGACGCCGCGGATGAGATGGCGAAATTGCGCGTTCTCCGCTCGCTCGGCTCCTCGTATTCCCCGATGGGCTTCCTCCGCGGAGGCGGCGAGCTCCACACACGGCGGCGTTTGTCTGTGAGGAGTATTGCACCAAAACTCTCACACGTCTGAGAAGGATCCTGAGAGGGCCGTTTGTCTACAAAAAAAAAAGACAACTCGCTTTGTTTTGGGATAGTCTACCAGGCTTGGGACAAATATTTCGGTGACTTTAAGAGGGCAGAAAGAATTGGTTTTCTGTGTCCCTTTGCTGCCCTCGTCAGGGATTTTTTGCGGGTACTCTAGATTTTGTGATCCTCATAGCTGTTATCAACATCTATGCATTCTGCGTGTTGTTTTCTTCTGATCTCAGCATTTAAATTAGCTATCCCTATGCCACATACACAGACACTCCAAGCATGTGTCTACTTCGTATAGATAGTCCTTATGACCACAATTGCGACTTCCATTGCTAAGCGATATATTCGTTGAGTGGTGCTTGATTTTACAACTTTTTTTGCCACAGTTGTTAAGCAAAACAAACGATTGTTACATGATTGTTAATGAATCTGGCTTCCCAATTGACACTGCAGAAGCCAGCTGGGATGGTTGCAAAGGGCAATCCAGTGACCCTGAAATATTGCAACCATTGTAAATATATGCCAGTTGCCAGCTAAATCGTGATAATGTGACCATGGAGATGCTGCAAGTCACTTTTTTCAGCACCATCATAACTTCAAACGGTCACTAAACAAATGGTTGTTAAGGACTACCTGTAAAATTTGCCATGATAAGTATGTTATCTTCCTGGTGTCTGATTTGAGATGTGTTTGAATATTAGTATCTGACTTTTTTGAAATTTTGGTAACTGATGTATTCTTTATAGCATTTTCTATTCAAATTTCACATATTTCAAGTCAGTCCTCGATAGTTTTTTTGTTAACTGAAGGATAGGAGGATAGCTACTCTTTAATTTAACAGTGAGTAGGGAAAGGCTCTATGTAAAAACAATTTCTGGAATAGCCCTCAAAAGCCAAACTCTAGAGTCTGCCTTGCAGACTAACACATAGATCTCAACCACCATATATATAGTTATAAAAAAGGAGTATAGAGTATGCTATATCCTATATACAGTACTGTGTTTGTCAGGTGAGGGAGCAGTAGTGAGACAGAATTACCTACAGGGAGTAATTAAGATAATGATTAAGATAATTATAGGAGTCTTGGTGAAAAGTCATAGGATGACTGATTAACCCCATTGGTGTAATAAGCAGTTTTGTCTCAATCTGTGAGAAAAGGCATTAAATCTGACAAAACATGGCTCAGGGATTCACAATGAAATACACCTTTGTGGTTTCTTTTGTCAAGGAAAGCCATTCTAAGGTCACAGAATATTCTAGTGAGTTAAAATGTTCCCTGCTGACTTTAGGCTACTATTTCTGATGTTAGATTATGTCCATTTCTTTTATTAGACTAGCTTATTTCTGCTGATGGAGGATAGTCATGTAAGTGGAGCAAATGTTTCCTGGTAAGTGCTACAACAATATTGCCAAAGCAAGTATTATAAGAGTTCCCATCCATGTTTGTACAGGATTTGGTATCTGTTATCTGCATCATTGAGGTTGGTTTATTGGTACCAGTTATTAGCTGTTTTAGAATTATGAAATATATTCTAGTTACTTCCTTCTGCAGGAGGTGGAATAGTGGTTCCACTGTTTAAAATAGTTTGGTGCCAACGGGTGATCCTGAAATTGCAGTTTCCCTCCTCATGCTATATAAATGCACACTAACTTGAAAGTAAATCACCTGCACCCAATGGAATTTAAACTAATTAAAGGTGCAAAGGAATGCAAATTCAATAATGCTTAGGACCGTGGTGGCGAACCTATGGGCACTTTGTGGGCACGTGGGCTGTCGCCCCAGTCATAGGCCTTCAGCTGGGTTTTATAAAACCTTTTCGCTTTAGGCCCCCGCTGCCGTGCATGTGCAAAAAAAAAAAAAGTTCAATCAATTTCAACTTCTCACGGGAAAAAAAAAGATCTCGCAAAGTTGGAATTGATTGATTGAACCTTTTAGTCCCATCCAGTCTGCTGTTATCACCACAGCCTCGCCCACCCAATGGGCCACACCCACCCAATGGGCCACGCCCACCTGGCACCCAACGATACATAAGTGGGTTTTGGGTTGCAGTTTGGGCACTCGGTCTCTAAAAGGTTCGCCATCACTGGCTTAGGAGCTGGGATCCTGTGTTTGCTCTTACAAAAAGGATTTTATAGAACATATAAAGATTTAATGTTTTTAATATTTTGGATTTTATGGATGATTTTAATGTGCTACTGGAAACTGTCTAGAGCTGCTTTAATTGGCAATATAAAAATAATTGTAATATAATTAATAAATAGTTTAATAGCACGTTCCTAAATATTATTTACTCAACTGTTGTGAACATCATTCCCTTGGTAGGTGGCAGAACCAATATTCCCAATAAATATTCCCTCATACTAACTGTAGATATATGGCTGTTCCACACTTCCTGCTTTTTCTAGCAGTGTTTCTCAACCTTGACAATTTTAAGGCATGTGGACTTCAACTCCCAGAATTCCACAGCCAGCAATGCTGGCTGTGGAATTCTGGGAGTTGAAGTCCACATGCCTTAAAATTGTCAAGGTTGAGAAACACTGATCTAGCACAAGGACAAGGCACCTAGCATTTTAGGAGGCAGGAATAGAGGGTTGTTATACTGATTGCAAAGTTTATTTTCAGATTGAGAAATGTCAATAAAACTGATCCTAGTAAATGGGACCAATTAACAGTTCAATTAATTGCTTTCAAATAAATATGTTTTAAAACAATATTAAGAGAATACTCATCTTTCAGTAATGAAATTTTGATTAACAGGGAAATCTAAAAACAGAAGATAAAAGCTTGGATTATATGTTTTTCTATGTTTATTATGATATCATCATATAAGTTAATACTTTTCTTAAGCAGCTACTGCTTAGAATTGAAACCATCGGGTAAAGGAATAAAACTAGGGCAGTAGTGGATAGCTGCATTTGACTGTATTAAAAGTTCTGGGGAAAAAACAAGCTGCCAGTTAAGTCCCACGCAATTAAAAGTAATAAGCAACCTAACAAATATCCTCTTCCTACTCATTTCCACCTAGTTGCCCATGTTAGTATTTGTAGTGCCATCAAACATCCATCTACCATGAGAAATATAGTCAGCAAATTAGACATTCTCCACAGAATACTTTTCAGTTTTATTCACATATACTAAGTGATAATTAATTTTGGCTGGTTTTAGCCTAATGCAAGAACAAACATATTCGCTATCTTTAGTGCAGTGGTTCTCAACCTGTGGGTCGGGACCCCATTTGGGGTTGAACGATCATTTCACGGAGGTCGCCAAACAATGCAGTCCGCCATTTCCCCCCCCCTTTTCCTTAGCTGTGCTACTCCCTTTTATTCTATTGGCTTTTGAAAGCCAATAGAATAGACTCGCTTGAATAGAGTCTAATTCTATTGGCTTTCAAAAGCCAATAGGAATTGTCCAGGCTGTCTCTGCTCTGCTGAGCCTGCCAAAAGTCCCATTCTGCAAACGGTGCTGCACCAGTTGAGTAGTCCTCGACTTACGACCGGTTGAGTAGTCCTCGATTTACGACCGGTTGGGGGTCGCGGCATTAAAAAGGATGAGAACCACTGCTTTAGTGTCATTTGTAAACTAGGCATATATCACTTCATCAACAAACTATGGTTTAATAACCCTGGTTTAACATTACATATCAACAAAGATGCTGTGGCTGGTCTTATTAATAAAACTGCACTGTGGGAAAATATTCAAACAAAATATTTAAACTTGCAAGATTCGTTTTTCTCACCATGCACATGTATACATAACCTGAACTACTGTTGTTTCTGTGTCATATATGTGGGTATATGCATAATTCTGTATTTATTTATTTTTGTCATATTTATGTAGTGTGTATCGGAGGTGGTGACCCTTTGAGAGCTGAATGCAACGAAATTTCATTTTAATGTATGCTGATTAGTGTACATTTAAAGTGACAATAAATTATATTCTGTTCTGTTCTATTCCATTCATAAACATCTCTTTGTTCCAAAGAGAGTATATATGGAAACAACAGTTCTTTTTAATATTTAAACCATCTAGTCTTTTTCTCCTTCTCTCCAACATTAAATCAATTGAAATGAGAAGCTAGAAATATGTTAAATAATAACTTTTGTTTTATTTCAAGCTATTGCTAAAGAAACTACTGAAATTTTTTAGGACCAGTAAAAGGCAAACCAAAGTGATTACTCATATGTTAGTTTTTTCATATAACACAATTTACCTTCTCCCTATATGATCGCTGAGATAATCTAAAATATATATAATCAACCATTCAGATTAGCGGAATCTGGGCACTATATTATATCAGTTTTGGACAGAGATACTAAAGGTACAGGAATGTAATTAACAAGTTTGCTGACAAGCTAAAATCTGAGCACTATAATACCATAATTCACATTTAATCGGGATTAGAAGAATGTTTCTTAAAAGATTTGGAAATGGCCTTTCTTAACAATAAATTTAAACTATTTATGCAAATTCTAATCACTGGACCTGTCTAATATATTAAGCTATGAACCTAAAGAAATACCTCAAAAAGAGGTTCAAATCACACCAACCGATCATATAAGAGTACCATCAATAACATTCATACTTCAATGTATTATTTTAATCTTTCTGTAGCCTACTGCCTCATATGAAATATGTCAATATATTGCTACTTAATAAAAACATGATGAGGTAATTACTTGTTATGGACAAATGAGCAAATGAAAAATTACCATTACTACATTTGTTCCCATGGTATCATAACTAAAATGCTTAGTTTATTTCAGGATTCCGATAGCCCCCGATAAATAGCAAATGAAGTTTGGGTGATATAATCAAAATCTTAAAATGGACTATATCTTCAGTTATTATCAGTTTAATTTTCTGTTATAATACCTCAGGAAAAGAAAGCACTAAGTAATCAACAGTTCTTTCAATTTACAATAGTTTACATTGAATTCTCTTTTCCAAACATGATAACTGCATTGTTATGAACTTTTAAATGACCATTACATTAATCAATAAAAGTTCCTTGCAAAGAGATTTCTAGATGTTTTCTTAGGGCAAAAGCAATGTAAAAAGTATATTTATCAACTGCATGTGTACATTCTGCAGTAAGAGAATACATTTTCAAAAATGAGGCACAGTCAACGTACTATAATTAAACAGGTTGCGTATCCATATTTTGTTCTGGTGTTTGAAGAGTTAACACACGTGAGGGAACATTACCTCCTTCAAATTATTTTATTAAGATCCATGTATTATATAAAATAGAACAAGAAAATCTATAAAATCTAGTGAGCAGTCCAGATGACATTACAAAATCTGTTTTGGGAAGTCAGCCTGATTTTATAGAATGCTGTATGCCTCAAAATATAGTTGCTGGGTGCATATCTCAGCAGAAAAAGCAGATATATCTAAGTATTCCAAAATAAGCTGTGAAAAAAAAAAGCTTTTTCAAGCCGATTGGCCTCAGCAAGATTTACAATGATGCTTCATTGCAATACATCAAGTTTATTTGAAGAACCAAGAGCTTCAGCTGCAAAGATTATATCAAGCACCTTTGTTTGAAAAGTTCCACAGACATTTACTGCCACTATTACCTAACAATTAGGGGTCATGTTTACAGAAGTGACTGCAATACAATATCAACCCACAATAGAATGCAGATAAATGTAAGGAAGGTTACCTTCAAAACTGATGGATTAGACCTTTGTGAAATGCTAATGCCAGTACATTTAGCTCTTTCCTTATGAAGTCTATGAATTCCAAGTTACATTTCCCGATTTTAGTGTCCAAAAGTAAGAGAGTTTACCTGCTCTTAGGAGCAAAATTATTATAATAGACTATTATGCTTTTTAACAAAATAACCTATGTATGGCAATGCACTATTTTCTAATTGAAAATATGAACAGAAAAGAAGTGATAATCCCCTATCAAAACAAAATAACCCTACTGGAAAAGACACCCAGGCTAATAAATGTATTGCCTAGCTGAGATAAAGAGATCAAACCACGTACAGAATCTTGAAGACGGACTAGCTGAAAATAGTGTACCAAGAAAAAATACAAGGCAATGAATGCTGTAGAATGTATCCTCCAATCTTTATCTCAGTAAATGTAAATATGTATATCACCAAGTTTCTGGGTTTGTGGACTGGCGGGGGGAGGGGATGATTCTGACGGTAGGGAAACATGCATGTGCACGTGTGCAGCTCCAATTGTGCAAGCCTGGAGCACTTGCGTACACATTCACCTGCTGCTCATGGAAGTGGGGATGTGTGTGGGCATGCTCACCCGCAGGACAAGAAAAATTAGAAATGCAGCACTGATTGTTTGGCTCAACCTAGAAACAGGGTGTCTTACTAAAAACAAAATAGAGTATCTGATAGCATGTAAATGCAACCCACGTTTATTATTAAGATGAACATGAGAAGAGCTTTTAAAAGTAAAAGAGAAGCTCTTATGTAATATTTTTAAAAGTTGCAATAAACATGCATACTGATAGCCTATCTTTGGTAGAAATTAAAATCAAAAGGAGGCTGATGAGAAACTACACAAATACACCATCAGTATGGTCAAGTACATTTGTAAATATAATAGTTAATACAGAAATTAAAACCGAATGTTAAGTAATAAGTGGTATCCCCAATTTATTACTTTTTTCATTATTTTACAAGAACTATCTTATTGCAATAAAAAAGTTTACTTTAGCCAAATTAAAGTTTTCTTTTATTTCCATTTTAGAGGATGAAGGGAAAATCAAGTAGATCTGCTCTCCAATTTCCTCAACTGCACGTTAAGCAACATACATACATTCACACACATGCACACCCGCACACACCTTAATCTGCACTTAAAATGTCTTTTTTTTTTTGCTTTTTAACTGAAAAGGTAGATCCTGGAGTAAGTGCAAAATGCAAAAATCAACTGACAGGAACTGCTGAACAAACAGCATAATTAAAATACAAAATATTTTATATTATTGAACTATTAAACGGGTCATGTTCGCTGTTTTTGTAAAACTTTGGAACCACACAGCTGATTTCTTAAATCTAGTCCATGTCAACTTCCAGAACTATTAATGAATTAATTAGCTTCATTTTTTGATGCTTCATCAAAGTTTTCTACAAGATCTGGAAAAGATGGAAATATATAATAGGCTCAAAAACATTGTTATTAAAAATGCATTATTTAGAAGATCAAAGTATTTATATATTAGTAAAACTCTTCTGTAACCTTCAATGAATCAAGATAACTGAATCTGCATTAAACAACTTCCAATTGTTCCTATATTCAGACATTAAATAATAAAACAGCTCCTAGATTCAATTCTGTTATGGAGCCAACAACATACAGTGGTACCTCGGTACTCATTGTTAATTGGTTCTGGGAAGCGCAATGTGTACCAAAAACAATGAGTACAAAACAAAATTTTCCCATAAGGAATAATGTAGCGAGTCACAAAGCAGCCAACATTGACAAGTTCTAGCTTGTGTGTTGAGTACCAAACAATGACTACTAGGACAAAATGTTCATATCAAAATGCATTGAGTACCAAATTCGATAAGTTTCAAAGCAGTTGAGTACCAAGGTACCACTGTACATTCAAACAGGCAGTCCCCAGATTAAAAATGTCCAACTTACAAACAACTTATACTTAAGAATAAGTTGCCTACTACAAAAAATGTGAATGGACAAACTGAAGCTATCCAATGTTTTTAATGTACTATTTTTAATATACAGCCAGTTTTCCACAATTCATAAAAAACATTTCATAGCTTCAGTGGTTTGTCACCTCAAGGAAGGAAAACACCATCTGCCATTTTTAATATAGACCATTCATAAATTCAAATTTTCACTTACATACAAATTTGAGTTAAATGGAATTTGTTTATTAAAGAACTAAACTTATTTTTAACCTAGAGACTTCCTGTACTTCATAATTCATATGTAGCAAAATTCTGTGTTTGTTTCTAAGAAGTACCTTTTATTTATGGATCAAACCTATAGACTACCTCAGTTTTACTCATTATAGTTACTGTATATACCTAATCTTACATTGTGTGTCATGCTGATGAATTTTTAAAAAAAAAATCTCCATTCTTGGAACAGTCTTCTAATCCAATTGAATTAATTAATTCAAAGGTCATGTAGTAAAAGATAAATTATTTCAAATTAATCCAAACCTACCAGGAACATCGTCATCTTCCTCATCAATATCTTCTGATTTTGGTACTTTGCTATCCAACACTAGAAAATAAAAATGTTAATTTATTTCAAGAATTCACACTGATATAGTTAATTATCTGGATTATAAAGTTGCTCTAAATTCACTGCTTGCTAAATGTGTCTATATGAACATTATTTTCAAAATATAGACTTATAGCTTGTTTCACTTCACTGAATGGAGCTCTTTAAGGATCCTCTCCACCAACCCTTTTGAAGTTAACTTTTGATTGGGCCACAGGAGAAGAATTTATGTCCATTCTTGCTTTCCTGTTCCATTTATTTTGTTTTGCCCAACTTTGCAATTCAAATTAATGAGCATAATTCAAGTAACTTTTTAATAGTTAATCCTTTGAAGACTTTTTGGAAGTTATTACTAGATTTCATGAATACTTGTTTTTAAATTCAGTTTACAATTACTATAACTCTACCACCAGCAACTTGATTCCAATTCAAGAAATTCCTTATTCTCTTTTTATCGGTCATGACCAATACATAGTACTTACCTTGTCTTGGGAACTGCTCCGCTAACTTTCGAAGACTTGTTAAACTATCGGCACCCAACTGGCTTAAAATGCCCGGTAACATTTCCGTGATTGGTTTGGCTTCAGCATGACCAGTAATTGCAAAAGTATTTGCTGAGAGTGAAGCCTGGACTTTTGGATTGTTGAAATGAATAACTGTTCCATCATCTTTTATCATATTCACCTGTTTTAAATATACATTTATTAGAACTTATGCATATGGAGTAATATACCAAGGTGACAGAAACTTACATTCTTAGCTTGCTGACCCCTTTATTTTGAGCAATGCAAAATAAATTAGGATAATTCACCTCAAAGACTTACAAATTAATACAAATCTATTTTGTCAGATTTCTTTTATTGTATTTTGATTCTACTAAAAAATGTCTAGTATGTTACTGATGCCTAGCACTTCACAAAAATTATAAAAACTATTTGCAAAATTGTAATTCTCAATTTTTTTTTAAAGAATTACTTTTCAATCTATTTCAGATTAATATAAGTATTATTATTATCTGGATATACCCTAATTTACTTACATGTTCAGTGCTTACTTCTTGTCTAATTTAAATACTGAACACTATGTAAATGTATATTATCCATATTGTTTCTCTAGCACAATTTAACATACAGCATGAATGTAAAGCATGCAACTATTACAGATCTGATTCAATGCTATTTGCTATTCTTTATCTAAAATAAATTATAAGCCACTGGTTACCTTGTATTGTTGACAGGTTGATTAAAACACTAATCATTTTAAGTGTATTCACTTCAAATAATAAAGCTAGAACCAAAGGACCTATGTTTTCAGACATTCAGAGACATAAGATATGAAGTCTATCAAACTTTAGAGTAGGCTTTTCTCTTACTGTTTCCCTCTCTCCCAGATTTAAAACAATGTTGCATTTCAGAAATGAATCTCTCAACAACCTGTATTAGACTACAGACTACCTTCAACTGTTCCATAATCTCTATGAGTACAGACAGAAGCATTACAATTATGAAGATTATGAAAAGCATTCAAATACAACTTAAAATATTAATATTGATATACCTCTTCAATGCCAGCAATATTGTTTACTGCCAATTTTTTGAGTGAACTCTGAAGTTTTTTATCATCAGCTGTTGCTGTTCTGTGAACTACCTTCTTCTTTCTACGAGCTGTACCCTGAGACACAAAATATACATACGTGAATTGTTTCAAAACTTTTCATATCTACTTACATTAAAAATTATTTATAAACTTTTTTTAATCAAAAAGGACTTACAACTACAATAAAATGCCTCTCAGCATTATATTTTATAGGCAGGAACCCATTTCAAAAGATTTTTATCCAACTCAGTTGAAAATGCTAATTTATTTCTATTTTGCCAAAGCATCTCAATTATTACAGTACGTGGTCATATGTTAAATGCATGTATATGTGGTCTGTGTGCAGCCCTCATATCCCTAGGTAATTCTATTTACAGGGGCAGACAGTTTTTGTTGCTTTTCCATTAAACTTGAAATCATACAATCTCTTTTCTATCTCATGTCAGCAAAAACTGCCACTAAACTGCTATGTTTAGGAACCATAGCGTCTATTGATTTTAATATATAGCACTGGATCTTTCAACAAGAAAATCAGTTCTGCTTTTAGATAATAACATTTAAAAGCAACTTGCATGTTTTTGCCCAAAAAAAGGAAAAAGCAAGTCCGGATTAATTTGTCTATAACTGCTGAATAGATCAGAATGGACAACAGCCTGTGGAAAATAGAATTGTGGAACAAGTCTCCATTATATTAATATTTTGCACCTATATGTGTATCTACCTACACAAATATATGCAGTAATTATACATTCTAGAATGTTCCTATATTCACTATTCATACCTTTCCACCTATTCGGACCTGAGCCTGAAGTTTAGCCAGTTTTTCTTGATTCATCTTGCTTTATCTGAAAAATAAATATACTAGCTAGACTTATGACAAATCCAGAATTCATTTTTAAATAATTGTCTTTCAAAACATCAACTTTATATATTTTAATATCATAAAATATCAGCAACTTACCAAAAATAAATCCATACTTATTCCTGAACCCAATTTATTTGGAGAAAAAAATATGTGGCTGTCTTTTATCAGAAAGGGGAAAAGGAAGTTGCACACTCCACCTTCACTCCTAATTATAATTATAACTGGTTTTGCTCTGACACACTGATCTTACTATCAATGTTTGTTTTATCTATGAAGTGAATAGTACATATTCACTGATACAAAATAAAATAAAGGCACTTAGGGAGAATATGTACCCTATGAGATTTATTATTTTAAGCAAAAGAAAAGTTTTTCCTTTTTCTCAATGCAGTAGAACAGGGGTCCCGAATCCCAGGCCACGGCTCACTACCAGGCCTTGAGCCAGTCGGAACCAGGCCATAGAAATGGCGGGTGAGCATGCCCACACACATCCCCACTTCCATGAGCAGCAGGTGAATGTGTACGCAAGTGCTCCAGGCTTGCACAATTGGAGCTGCACACGTGCACATGCATGTTTCCCTACCGTCAGAATCATCCCCTCCCCCCGCCAGTCCACAAACCCAGAAAGGTTGGGCAACTCAACAGTAGAAATATATCACATAAAAATGTGAGAATTAAGTCCACCTTTATTCACATATGTCCAGATAATTCTAAATCATTCCTTGATCCTGCTACAATATTAAAGAAATAGAAAAGCATATGATCAGAGTATGGGAAAGTCAATGTAAATACAAGTTAGTTACATTGGTATTTTATCTTTTCACTACGAATTTTAGAACAGCATTTTAAGGCTCATAATCCCCTATGGTACAAAACTTATAAGAAATAGTCATTTGTCTACAGCTATATGAGAGCTATCTTCAATAGATGGGAAACATGAATATATAATTCAAAAGTTGATTCACTCTGTAGTAGAATTCTAACAAAATTTAGATGGGTTTGATTGAGGAAGTATGTGTAGAACTATAATTCTACAAAAATACAAAAAAACCATCAAACACAGCCAGTTTTCTATGAATAGTTTCTATAAATAATAGTTTTATTTTCTATAAAACTATGTTTATGTATAAGTGTATCATAAGAGTGTCAATGTCAGCATTTTACTTTTGATTATGTGGAGGGGTGTTTATCTGAAATAAATATGAACAAATATTAACATCAAGGGAAGTCTTTTTAAAGATGCTCTCCTGGGAGTCATTTATAGGTCAAAATGCTTTCTCCCATATAGGAATAGCATGGAGCTACAATCTAACCTTTTCAAAATGACTGACTTAGCTGTTTCTATAAACTGTTAACTCTTTATGTTTAATGATTATGTGGAGGCATACAGTACATTACGAAAAAATACACTGAATGATAAAATATATATCTATTACATTTCCCCATGTTATATATAATACATTTGTTGTCATTTGTTTTCATGCTCTATCTGTGCAAACTCTTAGAATCTCCTGTAGTTATACCACTTGCATTATTTCTCAGCATTGTTCCAACAAGCCAATCAAATTTCTGCACATAATCATCAATCAAATCATCCTAACATTAGTTATAGTTTAGATTTTTCTTCTGTATTAGCAGTGATATGTCCTTTAATGTTAACCATGCTGTTCTGTGCCTACAATAGCAGAGCATGAGAAGCTCCAGCCAGTTAAACCCTAGGGTGCATTTTTCTCATTACAGTATTAACAAATTGTCATATTCCACCAGACCTATATAGCTCTAAGGTAATAACTGACTTAAATCTTTGCAGAACTGCAATATCTGTAAATTGAAAATGAGAATATATTAGAAGGGGAAACAGAAAAGGACCCTATAAAATTAAACCCCAACTCAAGACAGTGAGAAAAAGATGTTCTCAGAAACAGGAAAAATAATTTCCTTTGTCAGTGATTATCAATCTTGAAAATACAAATTTGCTCACATTATGGAATAGGAAGATGTATTTATTGTATTGGAACAGGTTTTATTTTAATATTTAATTAAACCAGGGGTACGTCTGTAACCAAAGTAGGTGAAACAAGCACAGAAAGTACTTGAGGGGGGATATATAATATATTCCTCCTGCAAAACATACATCTATTAAGAAGGCTAAGATCCTCTCTGCTTTGGAACCTGGCATGTCAAAGCAATGTAACTGCTGATTTGATGGCTAATTATCCTAGTCATGACATAAAGATTGATATTACTCACAACAAAAATTAGCTCTTTTTCTACTATGACCTCAATTTGTAAAAAGTAGAAAAAAAAAGTTTTGCAATTCACAGATATAATGCAAAGAAAAAAAAACACTGAGAAAAGACATTAAAGACCAAGTCGTAGAAAATTAGAAATAGGAGTTAGCGATGAGGAGAAAACTAGAGACAAGCGAAAGAATCTATAGCGTGTTACAAAGCTGCATACTAACAACCCCAGAGCCCAAAGCGGGGAAAAGTGGCCTGATGAAACTCCCTCTCCCAGCCCAACGAGTGAAGCTCCCGGTGTTAAAATTGCTGGACCGAAGCATTAAATCCCGAGGGAAGGGCTGGAAGGAATCCAAGGGAAGACTTCTCCTTCAAGGAAGGAGAATGAAGTGCGACTTTGCAGTAAGGTGAGAGATGCTGGGCCCGAAAAAAATACTCATTCACTTAGGGGTAGAAGAAACACCACTGTTGTGCTTTAGAGAGAAGAGGTGGAGTCTGCGAAAGGTCCACGAGACACCTCGCTAGTCTCGGGCTGGCGGCAGAAAGGTGCATTCACACGACCGGAAGCACATAAATCAACCCTGACAAAGGGAAAGCGCGAGCGGTCAGGCAAAAGGCCCCGAAATGTGAAATAAGCCAACCAAGGCGTACCAAAGTAACCCGGGCTTCCCGGAGGCGACTACTTGCCAGGCCCACTCTCCTCCCCCTCGCTCCTCGGCCCACCAGCAACCCCTCCCACCGTCCATGGCGCTCTGCGCGCCGGCCAAGCAACCACCGACTCGACTTGCGGGGGTCGTGAGGGGCGCAAGAGCATCAGAGGATCAAGCAGGAAGTTTTCACCTCAGTCCGACGAGCCTTCCAAAAGCAACACGCGGCAACAACAAGATGGCGGAGAGGTAAGGGGGAGAGAGGGGTCTGAACCAAGAAGGCCTAGAACCACGGGACCATGGCCCCGCCCCTCTCATCCAATTGGCGGACAAAATGAGTCGGGTGTATAAAATGGGCGCCGGCAGCCCCGCCCTTCCATGGCTCCGGCTTCGGGCAAGTGCAAAAGGATCTCGGCTGTGCACGACCGCTGGAAAAAAGGGGAAGAAAATACTTTTACAGCGATGGATGCTGGGAGTTGTGGTTTTCCTTAGGCATAGCCAACAGGACTCCATCGCTTTGTTTTTAAGGTGCTGGAGCTGTTCGCACGAACTTCTTCCGTGGAAGCGGGATTGCCGTTCTTTGAGGTCACTCTTTCATGCAAAAGAATAAAATTTCAGTTTAAGCATTTGAAAGTGGCAGTGCAACATTTCCTCCTTCCTATCCCCCATGTGCGAGAGTAAAGCCTACTCTGGGCAAGTAGGAACGTAAATCCCACCGAACATAACACGACACGGGTTAGATAGCGCTTCAAATTAGTGCAGAACGGGCTCAGTCATATTTTCCCGAATAGTTTCACATAACTTAAATCTAGTTGCTGCCCTTCTTGAGCCCTTGATTCGAGTTTGGATTCCATTCAAAGAAACAAACAACTCAGATGATATTCCGATCCTTCCCCCCCCCCCGCCGCCAAAAAAAATATCTTGAGAAAGAGTTATATAGGTTGAATCATCACTAAAGAGCTGGAGAACGCTCTATCTGCTTCCTTCAAATTTACCCCGGACTCACATCGAACAAATCCCTCCCAGCTCCGCCCCATTAACATCACTTCCTTTTTCACGAGAGGGCTCACTTGGATTGATCAGATTGCTCGGCGAAGCTGACCGGCGACTCAACCCCCGAGAGGAGTCGCGCTGCCACCATGAAAGTTCATCTCGCATCGCTCTCCCCTCTCCTTTTTTCTTCCTTTTGCCACTGGTTCGTGGCGGCTGCAGCTGAAAAACCGCTTGGAAAAGGTTAGAAATCATTTTTCCCCCTTGCTTTCTTTTTATGCCTCTGCTTTGGGGAAAAAACTTGAACAAGCAAAAGTTTCCGCGCGGAGGGTTTGAACAGTTGCAAAATCTTAAGGTTTATCGTGTAATTTTTATCGTTAGAGTTGCGATCTAGCGAAGTATCGAGAGCAAATTTGCTACAGACTATGAGATAGTCGTTGAACGATTTCTAAGAATATATTACTGTTAAATAGTTCAGAGATTTACCTAAAATATTTCTGTTTCCAAAGTTCAAGTCATAAAGTTTTAATCTTATTGTAAAGTGGTAGCCTAATGCACAATTTTGCATTTAGCTATTAAAGCTCTATTAAATTATTTCTTAGAGTCAATTAGGTGTTTGCTCCTAGTTAAAGATAATAAAATAGGTAATAGAGCATGCCTTCTAATTTATCAGTTAAAATTAAACTGGATTTCCTTGATCATATCCTGCTTTTTCTGCCATTGTATCAATTCTTTTTAGTGGATAATCAGGTGAGATGAGCAGACATGATTCTTATTTAAGATCAGTGCTTTTTTTGTTAAAAAAAAAAAGGTGCCAGAACTCACACACGTCATACAACCTGCCTTGCCTACCCTACATGGTTCCATCCGAAAAAGGTACCGGAACTCCATTCTGGGCGTTCTATGAGAAAAAAAAGCCCTGTTTAAGATACAGTAGGAATAACCAACCTCTAATGGCCACATACACACCTTAAAGTGCCACGTATATGTGCAAATTAACTTCCTTAAATTTTAAGCAAGAAGAGAGGAAATGACTGAATCTATCCACTACTGCCCCACCAAGTATTATATTATTCGCTGACAAGTTACTCCTGGGGATTTCTGGCTGTCTGCCAAATATAGATTGAAGTATCTGAACTATTTTTAAATTTTAATTCTTTGCTTTTCCTGTTGCTTGATTATGATTTCTCAGAATGCTTTTTTTCTATCTGACCTTCATGTCAGAATAGACTTACTTGCTTCGTAGAATAGAAACTAATGCAACACAATCCTCATAGAAAATAATGCACTGACAATCCTCACTGTCAGTGACATCTTTACACAGCTTCTGTATTCAGGGACAAAGGTGATACTTTCTTTGGGAAGAAAAACATAAAGGGAACATAATATTTATTATTTTAAGACAGGGAAGTTCTGTTCTTCGTGCACCTTGAATTCTGCAATTACCTAGCAAAGAAATGTTTTTACTCTGTAAGTAAGATTTGAAAAGTATTCTAATTACATTATGCTTTGGAATAAGCATAATTTGGAATTTTTGTTATAAGTAGCCAATAATGCTGCTTATAGCTGTTATTATAAAAACGGAGAGGTTTTCAAGGTACTGAGCTCCAATAAAGGCTATGTTGGAAGCCCTATATTCTACAAATGTATAGAAAGTTATGTCACATAGTTTCCAATATGTGAAAATAGTAAGATGGATTTAAACTGTAATGCTATAAAAATGTATCTAAAATAGCTTGTCCTAAAATAAGGTTTTTTAAAAAAAATTGTGCAACTTTTTGTTATAAGTCTTTTAAAAACAAGCTTTTCTTTCATGTTACAAACTCTGTAATTTTTGTAATATCATATATTTACAGATCTGTGCTGAGGCAATATGATTTTATGTGGAGTTTCACTAAGTTCTGAAAGAATGGACATAGTGCAGTTCACAGTAAAAATATAAAATTGCTTACTACAGAGTAAGTTCGTACGATTTCATGGAGTCACTAAGGACTTTCTGAAAAATGTCATTTGTGCTTACCATTCTAAGTATTTGCACATGGTAGATATTTTTACCTATCGTAATGAATGTTTTAAATTGGGTCCTCAAACCCCGGGCCATGGACCAGTAGCAGTCCATGGCCTGTTAGAAACGTTGGAGGTAAGTGGCAGACAAGTGAGTGAAACCAAAAACATCCCCCCGCCCCTCACTCTGTGGAAAAATTGTGTTCCATGAAACCTGTCCCTTGTGCCATAAAAGGTTAGGAGTCACTATTTTAAATCAGACAGTAGATTTTCTCTCTCTCCTTCCAAGGTTTTGGAGATCATATTCACTGGAGAACACTAGAAGATGGGAAAAAAGAGGCTGCAGCCAGGTATGTTGTAATCTTAAATTATCTCCATAAACATGTTCTAAGTTCAGGGCCACGCATAAAGAGAAGTTCAGCTTCAGCACTCAGACCTGAAGGGATTTGGGGAGAAGGTGACTAAGCCTTGGAATGGAATCCAGTTGATGAATATCATGTTGCACAAGTTCAGAAGTCTCCATTACTGCTGAATTATCATGCTTTCTAAGAGTCAAGAAGTCTGAGCAATTAGAAAATATTCTCGAGTAGAAACCTTTGTCAATGGAAAATAATTTATGCATTCATTTCTACTGACTCCCCACCCCTTTCCTGCTGCAGTCCTTTGCACCGTCTTGTGTCCCATTTGTGGACAGGAATAGATGGAAGAGGCACAGAAGAGTATAGAAGACAAAGGAAAAATCTGTTCTAAGAAAATAATAGGCTAATATGGAAGTAAACTTCAATTTTAGTCTATGGGATTTGATACAACCTATCATTTGTTTCAGAATGAAATACTTTATATGTAAGAGCGAAAAACATAAGAGTATTGTCTGAAAATACAGCTACAATGGGATGTCCAACTTTATTTAAAATAGATTCTGTAACTAATATCTATGTTTGAAAGTAAGTATAAAAATTAAGTCAGGATATTTAACCTTGCTGCAGAATAGAAGTGTAGCATGTGAAGCCATTCGTGGTATTCAACGAATCATACAATATATGGGCCCAGATTTATGTTGTCATCCAGTGTTTTCTAAAGATAACTTCACCACCAAATAACGCTGCCATACAGAAAGAATCTAGCTTCCCAAAAACAGATTGTTGAGTACCTCCAGAACTTCTCAGCTTCACCAACACTACCAGCTCCATCATTGCTGCTGCTGATTGTGCCCCACAATTACTTTTAATCAATGTGGCCTTTTCCTAAGAGTAGTGCAGATTTGTTCAGGCAGGTGATTTAGTATTACAGCTTAATACATGATGAGCTTGGAATTGAACTATGTGTTGATCATTACTTGAATTGTATGTTTCAAAAAAGGTTTGGAAATATATTGACTCTTGGATCTGCTGAGCCCTTCAACATTGATTTGGCAAATTTGAATAATATTCCTGATTTCTCTTTGTCATTTGGGCCTGAAAAGATTTTCATTTTCGTTGCCGTGTATTTTGAAATCCAGGAAAGTCTACAGAACAGTCTGGCTGCAGCAGTTGTTAGTTCATTTAGTTCACACTTTCACGCTGTCCAGGGTGCACTGTAAGGAGGTGAACTAGCTTTGTATTCCACAAAAAAGGATGCCAGGCTTTGAACTACCACATCAGTAATGAACAATCCTAAATAGGATTTGTATCTCACAGGGTATCTATCAGGACTTTCTGTATAAATGGGGTATAGTATCCTCCCCTCAATGTGACTGCAGGGTCCCACATTAAACTGTAGATCACATTGTGACCAGCTGTAAGCTGAGATCACAGTACCTGATTTTTTTAATATAAATGATGTTCCACTACAAATATTAGATTGCCTAGACATTGTTAATAAGATCTATGTTCAAATATCAGTTGTATTTTATTGGGTTCTATTAATCTAGTTGAAATATTAATTTATATTGCTTGTTCACATATGTTATGCCATACACTAAAATGTATATTTCAATATTTTTTAGTGGATTGCCTCTCATGGTAATAATTCATAAATCCTGGTGTGGTGCTTGCAAAGGTAAGATATCACAGGCAATGCTACTGACATTTCATGGAATAATGGATGGGAAATTGCAATATTTATGAAAACATGCAGGCAGTTCTACCTTAAGGACCGGTCACTAAGCAACCATGAAGTTATGATAACCCCCCCTCCCCAAAAAAGTAAATCCAATTTTGATGTTCAAATAGCCACACACCCCTCGCAGAGTCACGCTACATTTTGGGCACTTCACAACAACTCACTTTTATGGCTGCTTGCAGCATCCTGCCATCATGTGACTAATTTTTGATATTTTTTGCCAGTTTGCAGCATTTACTACTGGATAA